TAGTGATTCAAATTTTAAAAACGCAAAATCTTTAGAAAAATAAAAAAAACATTGTCAAAGTGAAGATTACATTTGGAATTATGTCAAAAAGCTTACGTTTTGGAATTTGGTTGGTAATGACTGCATTTTGCTTTGTGTGGAACTTGTCACTGAAAGGAAGTATTTGTTTCTTTACTTCCTGAGCTTTTGGGTTTCCGAGCTGTTCATGGTATACAATATTTTGCTGTCAGATTTCAGAGCTTTCAGATACAGAGTGAATGGATAGTTTAGGAAAACTGCAGTTGAATTCTGGAGTGTGTTACATACCAGCTGTCTTTCACAGCCCAGCTGGAAGGAGGAGATGTTTGTAGTGGCTGATGACGACTGACAGTGAGCGAGGCAGCTCTGCTCCAGCTGCTCATGTGGATGGCTTTTCTCCTCACTGTAATGTCCGTTGCAATTGGCTCTGCTAGGGATGGTCTCAATAGTGAAGTGAAGAACACAGTGACGGGAATGACTTTTCTCAGGCCTTCTGGTGACTTGACTGCAAGACATCAGGGATGCACTGATAGAAAAACGTGGGAAAGTTTAACTTCTGCTGTGTTCATCTTACTGTTCCCTGCATAAATGGAAAAGTTCTGTCTTTAGGGCTGTGATAACTTTGAAAGCCAGTCCAAAAGGCAATAAGTAGATTTCTTCCCCCTCCTCAAAACAAAGCAATTTCAATGTCTCCAAGGCTCATTTTCAGCCATTCCCATGGCTGTACAAATACGATGTTGCAATCCCTAGTTTTTTAAGAAACTGCTTTTCCTGTTATGATATAGATGCAATAATTTGCTGCCTGATGGTGGACACAGGGTAGCCAAAGACTCCCCTGGCTTTGCTCGTTCAGGCTTGAATCCCAAGCAATGGTGGTGCCTAATGACATAGCACAGCACTTGGAAGCGTATGCCAGTACAACTGTAATCTTATGAAAATCAGAAGGATGTAGACATGTACCAGAATTACTATATACTAGAGATTCAAAAATCATGAGTGAGGTTGCAAAAAACCCAAGACAACACCAATCCACCTTTCTATAAATCTGGCACAGACATGGTGGGATTGTCAGGAGAGTGACACCCCCCCACCCACCCCCCCACCCCCTTTTAGATTGTCTTTATTTTACTTAGTTTTTTAACTTGAGAAGTCACTCCTTTAACTTTCTCTGCACAGTTGTGAGAGAAAAAGAGGTTTTGGTTTTGTTGAAAGATGAAATTAGGTTGTAACTTGCATGCTTTGCTGTGCTCAAGCAGTTGAGCCCATAGAGGAGGATGCAAAGTATCCTTTCTTAGTCACATTAAAGTCATAAGTATTGATGATGATTTTTAAATTGTGTGAACCATTTGATTGCTGAACTATAATGTTAATCACAACCAGGTGAAATATTCAGAGTACGAAATCCAAGAGCGCTGAGCTAACAAGATAAAAACATTTGAACAGGTCCTTGAAGTGTGCTACTAAATATGGATGCAAATGTCTTTAATGAATATTTCATCTAGGGGACCTTACTGATTAAGATCCATGTCTCCAATGAAACTTGGAAAACTACTGTTGTGCTTTTAAAAATTTAACCCTATGTCACCTCTGTCAAATGATCTATGTGTAGATTGGCTTCTGTGTTTTCTGGCATAGGTAAAGGAGGATAAATGTATTAAGACTCCATTATTTTTTCCCTGTATTGTTCAAGGCTTAAGAGAGAGGTTTTGACAGTCTTTATGTGAAACTGGTGTTTATTTCAGGAACTTACTGTTTCATTCAAACAGGATTTGAATGTTCTGTTTTCAGACATATCAAGACTTCTATAATTATCACCATGTAGGGCTGAAATTTTTGTCCAACATTTGGACAAAATGTTGAAAAAAATCAAAAGCACTGCATTGCATTTTCCTCTTCATAGGAAAACTGTTTTCTATCTGAAGTATAGAAATGGACAGGTTCAAAACCCAAAGAGGGGCATTAAAGAAATGTATTAAAAATATTTATGTGAGCATTTACTGGTATTTAACTGAGTTGCTAGCCTTAGAGTATGTGTTGTGGCTATAGCACCCTTCTGTGAAGCTCATCCAAAGCCTATGGGTCGTATCACTTAACATGATACTCTGTAGGGACTTGCATGATACATAGACTTTCTTCTTGCCTCCTGGATGGCATGAATATGTCTCTCTCACTGCATCCATATATTTCACAGCTGTTATTTGCTAAGTTTGTTACTAAAATCCATAATGTTTAATGCAGACTGCAAAAAAGCAATGTCAGATCTCTTTCTGTTGTGCAGAGCTCTGTGGTCGTGAGTCAAATCAATTTTGCTGTCATTTTTCTTACTACCCTTGTTGCTGTTGTGGTTGTCATTTGTGTCACTGTCATCCTTAGGAGCTCCAAATGTGGGCTGCTACTGCATTGTTCTAGGTGCAAAACAACAACAACAACAAAAATATCTTTGCAAGCTTGCATAGAGGATTTGAGAAAGGCAACATTGACACCAGGAGAGAGGAGTACAGGCAAAATGTGGAACAGACATGTTTGGAGGGATCGCTGTAGTCTCTGGCAGTCAAAGAGTTTTTAGGTTGTTGTAATCATCAGGGCATAGGTGAGACTTTGAAGAAGGCATTTTGCAGATACTTATAGTGAATATCTTGCAGGTGAGAGAATAGGGAATTTCCTGAGAGTGTCTTTGTGCTCACTCTGCGTTCCTGCTCCATCATGGAGACTGCGGTCCAGAAAGGAAGAAAACTGAAGCAATTATTTCACTTGTGGAAAGCAGGTTGCTTATGGATTTGTGAACTAATTCCCTAATGGCCCTCTGTGACCCACTGTGAGACACGGATTTAGGAACTGGTTAAAATAATACTCTTGAGGATCCAACAGCATAGACAGCTAATCTGAGGCTTCACAACAGCTGCAGGGGTTATTGCAGCCTTGAGGCTGCAGTGGCTGCCACAGATAGTCTCTGTTGCAGAACTACTCTGTCCAGGAAGCAAAATTCCACCTACATTAGGCTATTTTTCCTCCACAGACAGAGTGGTGACAACATGTTTTAGCCCTAAAACGTGTCCTTGTGGCTTCCCAGTTGCTTAGGTGTATATGTCATGTGACGACTAGATTATTCAACTGAACTTGTTTTCTTTGAAGGAGAAAATGAATGTATTCCACTAGAATATAAAACTAAGGCAACACATGGCACATCAGGAAATTACACTTAATAGCTGACAACACAAAAGGGAGGTTTAGCTAAGTTTAAGGTAAAGATCTCTCACCTAGTGGATGAAGGGAAGATGGTGGATGTAGTTTTTTTGGGATTTAGTAAGGCTTTTGATGCTGTCCCTCACAGCATCCTTCTGGACAGGTTGTCCATTGTGGGGTGAGCAGGTTCATGGTGCGATGGGTGAAGAACTGGCTGAAGGGCAAAGCTCAACGGGTCATAGCGAATGGGGCTACATCTGACTGGTGACCGGTCACCAGCAGTGTTCCTCAGAGCTCGATTCTAGGGCCAGTTCTGATCAATGTCTTTATCAATGATTGGGATGCAGGAATGGAATGCACCATTAGCAAGTTTGCTGACAACACCAAACTGGGAGGTGCTCTTGACTCTCTCTGAAGAAGGGACAAGAGGCCTTGCAGATGGATCTAGATAGATTGGAGCATTGGGCAATGATTAATGGGATGAAATTTAACAACTCCAAGTGCCAGACTCTGCACCTAGGACAGAGTAACATCGGGCACAAGTATAAATGGGGAGAGGAGTGGCTGGAGAGCAGCCCTGCAGAAAGGGATCTGGGGGTGCAGGTTGACAGCAGCTCACTATGAGCCAGCAGTGTGCCCCGGCAGCCAAGGGGGCATCAAACATGGCATAACCAGCCGGTCAAAAGAGGGGATTGTCCTGCTGTATTTAACGATGGTGAGGCCTCATCTTGAGTGTTGTGTTGAGTTCAGAGCCCCACAATTTAAGAAAAATGGGAAGGTCCTTGAATGTGTCCGGAGCAGGTCAACAAAGCTGATGAAAGGGCTGGAAGGCATGTCCTGCAGCCGAGAACTTTGGGTTTGTCTAGTTTGGAGGAGAGGAGACTGAGGGGTGACCTCTTTACTCTCTACAGCTTCCTGAAGAGGGAAGTGGAGAGGGCGGTGCTGAGCTCTTCTCCCTGGGATCCAGTGACAGGATGCATGGGAATGGTTCAAAGCTGTGCCAGCAGAGGTTCAGACTGGGCATTAGGAAGTGTTTCTTTATTGAGAGGGTGGTCATATGCTGGAACAGGCTTCCTAGAGAGGTGGTGTCAGTGTTTAAGATGCATTTGGACAAAGTCCTTAATAATTTCATTTAGCTTTTGGTCAGCCCTGGAGTGGTCAGGCAGTTGGACTAGATGATGGTTGTAGGTCCCTTCCAAATGAAATAGTCTATCTTTTGATGACGAGAAATACAATGACATACTTTTCTATTTATCTTGAACATGTTGAAGGAGAGGGAAGATCTTAGATTGTCTAAGTCAGCATTTACATGATAGTTTATGATCAGATTTCTGATCACAGACTTACATTTAGGCCAAGGAGATGGAGATGTGCTCTGCTGTCTGCTTGCCCACACATCCTTTTCTGACTTTCATATTTGCCTCAGACTGCAGCAGCTGTAGTAGACTGGTGTCTTATGCCGCTGCAGAAGATTAGCAGGACTTGTACCCTGATAAACAGATTCTATTAAAAAACAAGAGGTTTCTGCTATTTTAATCATACTAACACTGAATCACTGAATTATAAACCATCCTGAGTACCTCTCCTACTGGTGCTATTGTTGTACCTTTTGTTTCTTTACTGCTGATGGCATTGTATTTGAGTTTTATTTAATTCCTTATAGCTGCGTGTAAAAAGGAAATAATTATATAATATAAGAATGGTTGTCTGACCAGTTAATGATATTTCCTTCTAACAACACAAAAGTTTAACAAAAGTTTTCAGGATAAAGAAATTGTTATCTTTTTCTTTTCAGGTACCATGATCAACAGGATGTTACTAGCAACTTCCTTGGAGCAATGTGGTTGATTTCAATAACTTTTCTATCCATTGGATATGGTGACATGGTACCTAATACATACTGTGGGAAAGGAGTCTGTTTACTCACTGGAATCATGGTGAGTGCTTCTGAATTTATTCATTGGATACAAGAGTGAGTTTTCTGCAATTAATCCCAAAACTTGTGGTAGACATAAAGAAACATTTATTTGCTGGCTTGTAGAGTATATACACTTACTCACACCATTTCCATGGTCTTTAATTCCTGGTAATGGAATGGAGGGGTTTCTTCTTCTTCTTTAGGTAAAGTTTAGCAGCTGTGTAATGAAATACAGAGAAACAAATTCCACCCTGACATAATTTACAGCTTCAAAATCTCAGTAGAGTCTTTCACTAAATGTTAAGGTTTTATATAATCTCAGTTATCTTTGGACATGTGTAATTGGACCACTACTAATAATTAATCTCAGTTCTGACTTTTGTTTCTTAAAATTAAGTTGTTCACAAACAAACGTGCTGGTGGCTAATCTCTCTGGTTTTAATTTTTCTGTATTGCACCAAGTGGTCAAAGTTAGGGAGGGAGTAAGGTGATATATTATAATGTCTGAGAAATTTATGCATATCTGCAGTAAATTAGAAGTAAAAAAGGCTCCAAACTCTGCCACTTTTATTTGTATCACGTCCTGTGTAAATGTTCCTGTGAATGAGAAGGGCAGAATGAGTATCATATATACGATATATAACAGTAAGATACATACTTGTGAATTTTTGCCATTGATCATAAGTAATGCAGCTCCAATATCTACCTTCTGTTAAAACAGGTATATTGGGATATTGGCTGAAAACAAATGATATATTGTCCCTTTTGAACAGCTTGTTTTGATGAAATTCTTATTTTTAAGAGTGTATTTTCTGTCCAAAGAGCATCAGTGCATTTTTATAATGTTTAAGAGTTTTTCCAAATGCTTTTTTTAAAAAAAAAACATCTGACAGGTTTCAGGTCATTGATCTTTATTGAAAAAGACTTCCAGTACATTTTGCCAATGGTGGCAAATGCATGTCTTGTTAAATACAGAGTTTGCAATGTGGTTGGAAGGTGCGGGCTGAAAGCAGAAGAATGACTCGGAAAGCTTTTTTAAAAGCTGTTGATTAAGCTCAAATCTGCCATCTTCTGGGGTATTTGCCTTTGCTCCTCTTTCTGAGCTGGATTTTGATGCCAGAGAGAATAAAATGTGGTCATAAGTTCATTAGGAAAAAAGGGGGACAAGCAGTACATATTACCATGGGGATGTGCAGAATGGGGGCAGGACCAACTATAAAGCTTTTCTTCTTCCCAGGCACTGTTTAGAAATCAGAAGCAAATACTTGAAGGTGCAGGTATCAGATCATTTTGTTCACTCAAATTGTTCAGCACTTTTCAGCATTTCATTATGAAAAAAATATACAGAAAATCTAGAACTTTCAAAGCCCTGCTGAAGTGCAATGAGAATAGTAGTATTGATACTAATCATCTGCGCTTGCAGCCCAGAAAGCCAACCGTGTCCTGGGCTGCATCAAAAGCTGCGTGACCAGCAGGTCAAGGGAGGTGATTCTGCCCCTCTACTCCACTCTTGTGAGACCCCACCTGGAGTACTGCGTCCAGCTCTGGGGGCCCCAGTACAGCAGAGACATGGAGCTGTTTGAGTGAGTCCAGAGGAGGGCCACGAAGCTGATCAGAGGGCTGGAGCACCTCTCCTATGAGGACAGGCTGAGAGAGCTGGGGTTGTTCAGCCTGGAGAAGAGAAGGCTCCGGGGAGATCTAATTGCGGCCTTCCAGTACCTGAAGGGGCCTACAGGAACGATGGTGATGGACTGTTTATCAGGGAGTGTAGTGACAGGACAAGGGGTCATGGGTTTAAGCTGAAGGAGGGGCAAGTTAGATTAGATGTTAGAAAGAAATTCTTTCCTGTGAGGGTGGTGAGGCACTGGCACAGGTTGCCCAGAGAGGTTGTGGATGCCCCCTCCCTGGAAGTGTTTAAGACCAGTTTGGATGAGGCTTTGGGCAATGTGGTCTAGTGGAGGGTGTCCCTGCCCATGGCAGGGGGGGTGGAACTAGATGGTCTTTGAGGTCCCTTCCAACCCAAACCATTCCATGATTCTATGATTCTATGATCTATGGGTTTCACACTGCTATTGCATTTATGCTAGTGCAAATGATAGCAGCATCTGGACTGTTATCTTGAATAGCTTATTTTGAGTCGGCTTATGATCTTATTATGATGAAAACAAGGTAAAAATAAAATCAGAAAAGCAGACTCCAGATTATTGCAAATGTTATTCTGCATGCCTTTGAATGAACCACACAGAAGCTGAAATTATAAGATATATTTGCCATTTTGCTTATGACAGCACCATTTGGATTCAGATGTAAAATTATTTATGGCGGTTGCTTCCACTGCTTTGGTGAAAAACTAAAGTACTGATTAATCATACAATTTGCACACATGGCATTTCTTTTTCACAACTGAGACATGATTCCATTGAAAATTAGACTTGTAAAATGTATGGATGATACTCACCTCCATGTCTTTGATTGATTGTTTTTTATGATTAAAAATTCTGCAGCTGCTTTGGAAGCATGAAGGCTCCAATCAGTATCTCATGGATAAATACCTTCACAGACAGAAATCATTCTTAAGCAAAAAACAAGCCAGGTAGCTAGTGTGTGATCATAGGTAAAACAGTACTGAAAGCCTGACCCCCAATGACATTTTTAAGGACATCTGCAACATGGCTTTGGCAGATGTCATCTTTGAGAAAGAAAATATGGAGCAATGGGGGAGAGTCAGATGTTCAAATTACTCTTTTTTTTTTTTTTTTAATAAAGGATCTGAAAGATACAAAGTATGAAACAGTGAATATAATAATGAACTGTCTTCCAGCCTAACCTGCAATACCAAAAAGCTTATAGGTCTTGAATATAGTTCTTTAAAACCAGCTACTCTTCTGAAACTTGTTCAGTAACTAATTAATGTTTGTTGTGGAAAAGATAAGATCCTAAAAGAACAGACTTACTGATTTTTATTTCAATAGAAGTGGCTGATGGTCTACTTAAAAGATATACCAGGATAATTGTTGCATGAGTGTAACAAAATCAAACCATGTAGGTGATCTTAAGAGGGAAAATGTGATTCCCTGGCATCTGAAGTAGCAAATACATTATCGGATTAGTGTGATCAATACCGTATGCCACTGAGGTTTTGCTTTTGGATAAGGTCACTGTTAAAAAGTGTGGAAGTGAGAATAAAGAGAAATACTTGTGAATACAAGAGTAGTTACACAGACCACTGAAGAGTTAATATTGGCTTTGGAAAACTGGTGGCCCATGGAGGGCTCCGTAGGTGTCTTGACCCCAATGAAGGGAGACCCCAGGTGCCCTGGCTGTCCTCCCACTTCTGCCTCAGGAACTGCTTTATATGTGATGGAAATTGGACTGCTTGGGCTGAACCATGCACTGTGCTCCAGCTTGGGAAGTGGACTTTATGCAGTCTGCTCATGGCACTAAGTTGTGCTGGCTATTCAAATTGCAGCTACTTCCATCTTGAGGCACTGGTTCAAGTGACATCTTTTAAATTCTGCAAGTGCATACTGCTGGAAAATAGGGAGATCTTTACACATATTCAGATTATACGAAAAGGGACAAAGCCTTGAGAATCATTAAGAATAAGCCAGCAAAGAAGTCTGATTAATGTATTACAATTATTAATTTTTTTAAAAAAACTGTGAACAAAGAAGGCAAATACTGAAAAAACATGTACTATCATATTGAAAAAATTACTTTTTGATCTTGCAAAACACTTAAATATGTGAAGTGTTAATGAAAATACTGACACGGTGCGATACAGAGTTGATGAAATGGGTTAATGCAGAGACACTTTACAGACAGGCAAGTGAAACCGAACTGAGTACCTCAACTCAATTACTTATCAGTATTTTTGCAATAAGATTTCACTAGGCAGCAGTAGTAGACTATGGGCAAGGTGGACTATAAGTCAGAGAGCAAATATGTCCTTTGCCTTCTGTATACATTAGGTAGGTCTGCAAGAGCGTGATGGATGGATGAAGTATGAGGGCTGACACTGTTATCAGAACAGGATATAAAGAAGATGAGGAGATCTATGGTGTCTTCACCATGCCATGCAGCTTGTCTGAGTCACTAAAGATGCCATCCAATGCTTGTCAGTGCACACCCAAGCAGATCTCTCAGATCCTGGTCAGCAGACTGAGCTCAGGTACCCGTGGAGCACTTTGTTGGTGATGGTGCTAAGTGGAACTGCTTATATAAGCAGCGTTTCCACCTCCTTAATGGCTTTTTGGAGTTAGGGCCTTGGAGTGATTTGCCAAATTTTCCTTGCTTTATGAAATTAGCAAAAAATTAAAGAAGGGAAGTAGAATTTGGTAGAAGTAAAGGGGGGGGGGGCAAGTGTGAGAAGATATGGGAAGATGCATAATTATTGACTATGAGATGGATAATTTTTACAGATCTTTGTAAGCTTTTGTACCTACGTAAGATAAAATAATGGCAATTCATTCTTCTGACTCCAGATCTAAGGATCTACCACAAGGTTTCAGAAGAACTCTTTTCTTTTTACGTCCAGCATTACATGATGAGCTAGTGCATTTATTGTATGATGCAAAGCCAAGGATGCAGAATCTTCCTGCAGAGCGAACCACCAACAGTTAGAAGCAGACAAGTAGGTCAAACCTATGTCGCTACAACAAAATGGATGAGTTGCCATTGTCCTGCACAGAGTGGTTAGCTATAGCTTCAATGAAGATTGCTTTAAATGTTATTTTGGAGTGTGTCCCTCCCTAATGCTGAAAGTGCAGCTTAAATGCTTCTGATATCGAAAGGAACTCCAAAGAGATCGTTAAGGCTATGAAAGTCAAATAAATTAGGAAAGTTTTCTTAAATTTACATCATAGAGCGGGACAAGATTAGGTGTTTCTTTTGGAAAATTTTATAGGAACATCTTTTAACTACAGGATTTGAACACCACTCATGTAGGTGAAAAATTCTTATTAGAGCAGTCACGATGCAGTCAATGTGTACAATCTGGCCTTAGGGATACTAGTTTTT